CATCAAAATCCAGCCACATATTTGTTTAGGTCTGTGCTTGATCTGTGCAGATTTCTCTCCTGATTCACACCAGAACATTTTTTCACTGGAGGAAGAGTTATTATGGATTATGGACTCTGGTATTTTAGTTAAAAGCGTCTTAATGCTGGATTTGTTTCAGCTTTTGTCTTCTCCAGATGTTAACTGATGGACTGGAGTGCTGTGGATTACTTGTGGATTATTGTGATGTTTTTATCAGCTGTTTGGACTCTCATTCTGACGGCACCCATTCACTGCAGAGCATCCATTGCTGAGACACTGATGCAATGCTACATTTCTCCAAATCTGATTAAGAAACAAACTCATCCTGATCTTGGATGGCCTGAGGGTGAGCACATCTTCAGCTCATTTTCATTTTTGGGGTGAACTGTACCTTTAAACTCCAATATGGCCAAGTTTATGCCAGCTTTTCTCTGTAATGTTTCAGAATGGCTTTCCCAGGCTTACATTTCTTTAAAATTATCTGTTGCTCTTTGTTTCTCAGATCTGTGATCTCCCGATCGAGGTTAGTGCCTGTAATTTCAACCTCTGAATGCGAACAAGCACACAAACGGTTATAAAAATCAGTTTTGCTGTGTTTTATTCCGCAGGAACAGGGTGAGTGATGATATATCTCTGGTTGTGGGGATCTTCTACACGCACCATGCGGTCCAATATGAAAGGAAGCTTCTTGGCCTGGAGGCGCGCAAGCAGAGACGCAAACCCGGACGAGCCTCCGCCGGAAGAAGACGAGCAGGTGCGTTTGCATGATATGTGTGCAGGGAATTAGTTTTCTACATGACGTTTGAGTTACAGGACGCCTGTCGTTCATGTACTGATTGAGATCTCTGTCATTTGTACCCAAGGTGAGAGTAGTGTTAATTTTGTCAGCTATTTTAAATTTAGTCCTGTGTCAAATGTAACTTTTAGTTTTTATCATATTTAGTCAACTTGTCCTGTTTTAGTTTAGTTACGTTTAGTTATTTCTGAGAATTTTAGTCTAGTTTTAGTCAGAGGAAACTTACACATTTTCTTCATATTTTCATCTTACTGTATAATGGTTAAAATGATGAAAGAAATATATTATTTTGCTCAATTTTAATTGCAATGGGAAATTTATTTTTACATTTCATCAGAAGTTGCTCTTTCGCCAGTAAGCAGAAATCAATAGAATATCGACTCGTATGCATGGTTTATTCCACCTCATCTAGTGTACAGATTTATAACTGGATATCAATTAGAGTGTACAGTACTGTATGTCTGTGTTTCAGATCACAGAGAGAGCGCGTGTGAATAGTTGCCAGATTGCATAAAGCCAAAAAGCCAGGCAGAGTTACGTACGTATCCGTTTAACAGAAAAGCTCTGATTGGGGGATTTGAGCTCTTGATATCTGGCAACCGCAAACATGAACGCTCGCGTAATAGAGTCTTGTACAGCAGTCTGAAATGTTTTGGCTCCACTTTTTTCAACAAAAATGGGGCTATCCACGCGGGGGTGGTCTCATTCGAAAGCGGGCCTCGAGACGTACACTCGTTTCGCGTTCGAGAGGGTTCCTTGAGCTGAAGAGATCCCCCGAATTTGGTGCGGAGATATGGCCGTTCAAAGCTTCAATGGTTTTCCATTGACTTAAGCTTTAAAGCCTTTCATCCAGGTCGCCAGTAGCAAACAATGGAGCGCGCTCTGCTGGACAAACTAAGTAATTACACCATTTCAAGCACTTTATCTGCATTATATGTTCTGTAAAAAAAATGTTCATATCGGCGGCATATTCGCCGATACCGATATATCGGCGACAGACTCATATCGGCCGATAATATCGGCAAAACGATATATCGGTCGGGCTCTACTTTTAACTACATTTTAGTCTCGTCTATTTTTGGCAACAATATTGCATGTTTATTTAGTCTCAGTTATCGTTTAATGACCTTATTATCGTCTCGTCATCATCTCGTTTTCGTCAGGGGAAAAAACCTTGTTGACGAAGATTTTCCATCATAGTTTTCGTGAACGAATTAACAATAGGTTGAGAGACAGCTCATATCATGTAATGAGCATTTACTAAAATCATCTGCAACGGACACGTTTGACTCTGTCCAGTTTAATAAGTTGGAATTTTATTTAATTGTTTACAAACAGTGTCTAGCATTTGATATACATAGATCACAGGAGAAGTCATACCGGGTTTTTATTTATTTATTTATTTTTTTTTTTTAACAAAATGGACAACTGCTTTGTCCAGTTTTATAGCTAGCATTTTATGCATCCTAAATAATCACAATTAAATCATGTTTTCTCACTTTTTGCATAATTTGACAAATTACAGCTTAGAAATTAGGTTTCATAAAATATTAATCTTAAACTCTGACACTAATGACTCCTTGGTAAATACATAATTTAAAAAAAATAAAATTTACATTTTGCTCTTGTGATTCCATAACTAGTTTGAGTGAAAATTGATATAAATAATTCAAGTAGTTAATGTACTCTTTATTTATATTATTTTAGCTTTAAAATTCATTTTTCTTATTATTGAAAGTCTGGGTTTGAGACAAAGGCAAGCCTTTAAAATCATTCAAAAGTTTGGAATAAATACTTTTTATTATTATCGAAATAAGTCTCTTTTGCTCAACAAGGCTGCATTTATATGATCAAAAATACAGCAAAATATTGTGAATTATTATTGAAATTTAAAATCTATGTAAATATATTTTAAAATGTAATTTATTCCTTTGATGCAAAGCAGAATTTTCAGTCTTCAGTGTCACGTTTCTGATTATTATCAATGTTTAAAACAATGTTTTGAAACAGTGATACACTACCATTCAGAAGTTCAGAAGCAAGTAAAAAATATAACAATTAATGCTATTATTTTATTAGGATGCATTAAATTGATCAAAAGTAAGCATACAAGAATGTACCTGGTGCTGTAATTACAGTGACCATTCCCATACATTTCCAGGATTAGACTCTCCTTATTGATGTTTTTGGATAGGGCTGTTGCTGATACTGGTGTAATATTTGAACATAGCTGTGTGTTTGTAGGTCTCAAAGCATCTCAATCCCCTCACATGAGTGAGAATGAGGACGGGGTGGAGGGAGAGACGGAGCACTCACAACACAAAGTCAACCTGCTCCACATTCTCCAGCAAGGATGGGACCTCAGGTCAGTGTGGACACTCAGAATTATGGGTAATGGTCTGGCCCTTACAGAATCTGCACTTTCCTGTGGGGGGGGGATTAGTGGTTTGTGTCGAAGGGATTTGAGTTTGATCTGAGTCCGCCGTAGCCCTCTTGACTGCATATCTGCAACCTGTTTTTGACTTCTTAAGCATTTCTCATTGCTTTTCTGAAGTACCTTTAACACCTTTACTCTGCTGGACTGCCTGTCTAGATAGGAAAAAAACGTTTGTGTAAAAATGTAAGTCAAAGACAGGAAAATCATTGAAAAATCAGCCAGTTGTTCGTTCTCTCTCTTTAAGCACAATGCTTGCTTGCACTGCAGTACATAATCAAAATAATATAAATTAAACCATTTTAATATTATACAAAACGCAGTCAGTACCTGAATTATCAGCTGAGACGTCGCAGAAAGAGAAACCTTTCCAAAAATACAGTTCCCTATCGCATCTGGTTAGGACAAAAACTCTGGTTAAAGAGACCCATCAACCTGTCATCATTTACTCACACTCATGTCGTTCCAAACCTGTTTGAGTTTCTTTCTTCAGTGGAAAACAAAAGAAGATATTTTGAAGAATGTTGGTAACCAGACAATTTTGGTGATTATTGCATGGAGAATTTCTCAAAATATCTTCTTTTATGTTCCAGAGAAAAAAGAAAGTCATACAGGTTTGGAACGACATGAGGGAGAGTAAATAATGACAGGATTTTTGGGTGAACTTCAAAATGGAAAAAATAGTAGAAATTAATTTCAATGACATGAGCCGGTCAGTAACTCGTGAGTCTGACAGTGATTTGTTAAGGTTTTTTTTTGTGCTCCAGGGTCACAAATGTGTTTTGTATAGTTCACCTAAAAATGAAGGTTTATACAGATTTAATCAGGCAATTTTATTCACATATAAACAATTATCAACGCACAAACAAAGAGCGCGTTAAATACAGTAAACCCAGAAGCTCACATATTTGAGCTTCCATGTTTATTAATTATTATAAAAATACATATTCTGCAGAATCATGGATATTTATATTCTGGTTAATGAACACATAAAGATGGAAGATTATGCTGTCATTTTGAACTAATAAACAGAACAAAAAGCAGTTGGAGGATGACGGGTATAATTCAGTTAATCATCTGACTCCAGTATAATTAATCTGACCAGCCTACCTCTTATTGTCCTCTTATTGTTAACCTGAACATTTACATTTAATCATTTAGCAGATGCTTTTATCCAAAGCGACTTACAAATGAGGACAACAGAAGCATTTAGGTAACAAAAGTTAGTCGCTTAAACTTTTAACATTATTAGTAATACAAGGAAAGCTTTTCACACATATTCACTGATCCCTACAAACAGTACTTTTGTTAACTGTTTATCGTGAAAAGAATTCATAAGAGTAATTTGTAGGGGTTTAACAATATATTACAAAACAAAAATGCAACAATATGTGACCGTGGACCACAAAACCAGTCGTAAGGGTAAATTTTTCGAAATTGAGATTTATACATCATTTGAAAGCTGAATAATAATAGGCTTTCCACTGATGTATGGTTTGTTAGGATCGGACAATATTTGGCCGAGATGCATCTATTTGAAAATCTGGAATCTGAGGGTGCAAAAAAATGGATATTTATATTCTGGTTAATGAACACATAAAGATGGAAGATTATGCTGTCATTTTGAACTAATAAACAGAACAAAAAGCAGTTGGAGGATGACGGGTATAATTCAGTTAATCATCTGACTCCAGTATAATTAATCTGACCAGCCTACCTCTTATTGTCCTCTTATTGTTAACCTGAACATTTACATTTAATCATTTAGCAGATGCTTTTATCCAAAGCGACTTACAAATGAGGACAACAGAAGCATTTAGGTAACAAAAGTTAGTCGCTTAAACTTTTAACATTATTAGTAATACAAGGAAAGCTTTTCACACATATTCACTGATCCCTACAAACAGTACTTTTGTTAACTGTTTATCATGCCTTAGAAGGCTGGCTTTGTTTAAAGTGCCCCTATAATGCCATTTCGAATACTGCCTTTCATGCAGTCTGTAATGTAGCTGTATGAGGATGTAAACGATCTGCAACGTTGTAAAGCCGATAGTGCATGATAAATAAAGTTTTTGTCTTTCAAAAGAAAGAATCGACTCTGAACAGCCTAAACGAGTCAGTAATTCGAACCCCACTCCCGTGACGGCTACACATCACTGATTAACACATTTGCATAATGCCCGCCTATGTTCTACGTTAGCCGGCTGCGAAAAACATGACCCGCCCACAAACACTGTAGCTTGTTCGTGTGGTAAACATCATGCCGAGAAGATGCTCTGAAAGTAAATCCATTTTATTTTCACTTCCGAAAGATGAGGCTGCAAAGAACCAGTGGTTAAAATTCATTTTTTCCACTGTACCAGTACAACCCCAATCTTTTGTGTTACTGACGACTGCTTCTCGAATCTCGGGGAGTTCAATGCAGGATTCACAAAACGCTTGCTCTTGAAAGATGAGCTCAGTACCCAGTTTATTTGGACCCAGCGCAGCACTGATGAGGGGGCGATGATGTGGCGATGACGTAGCACAAAGTAAAAAAAAAACAAAAAACATATGCGGCCGATTCATTTGTATTTGTCGGACCGTAAACAAACCCGCTACTACTACAACTATTAGAATGCTGGGTTCACGCAGATAGTGTTTTGGTTGCGAGACAGGTCAGTGGAAGTTTTTTTTTTTCGTCTAGAGACGTGTTTTTAGAAGCTGAATTTATTTGAACTTGAGCGCCGTGTTTTAGAATGATGTATTACGCGCGATAAGCTGCTATAAAGACCTGAGACGAGAGCGCAGCATTCAGAGACGTCGAGTAGCGCATTTACATTGAAATACAATGGAAAAGTACAGCAGTGGAATGAAAAAATGCGTTCTGAGTGAATGACCTTATACCATACTTAGCAAATACAGATGGCAGAGTATTGAATAAAACTAAATCGCATAGCCACCAAATTCGAAAATCTGAATCCAGGAAATAATATGTCTTAGGCAGCAGTTTTACCACAAATACAGACAAGTGATACCACCACAACCACCAGAAATACTTAATTGTGTCTGCTTTACAATGAAACAAGCTCATTGCGACCGATTCTAAAACCGCCCATCTTTATTTTGCATCATTGTTCTGTTTATTTATTTGTGCTATTGCTTTTAACATCTTCATTTGTTCTTATTTACTGACTGTTCACTTTTCTTTGATCATGTTTGAACTTTGTTTTGGCTAAGTTAGGCTTAGGTTAGGTATTGAAATTGGAATTATTGAAATTAAAATTTAACTGGTATCTAAAATTTTGGTGTCATATAAGCTTGTTTTCTAGAATACAAAACAATGATAACAAGAACTATATATAGTTTCTTTCAATTTCGTATTAAGCGTCAAAAGAAAAACATTCATTTAGAAGAAGGGGGCCCAAATTTCTGTCTTGCATACCTCCCTTAAAACTTCATGGCGCCCCTGATTAATATACCATACTTAGCAAATACAGATGGCAGAGTATTGAATAAAACTAAATCGCATAGCCACCAAATTCGAAAATCTGAATCCAGGAAATAATATGTCTTAGGCAGCAGTTTTACCACAAATACAGACGGTTATTTGTGATACCACCACAACCACCAGAAATACTTAATTGTGTCTGCTTTACCCTTAAAACTTCATGGCGCCCCTGATTAATAGATGTCTATATTTTCTATCAAGCGTTCAAAATACAGAACTATGGCAATGGGTGTATCGTTTCCGACACGCGCTGTACACGGTAGACCAATCACAGCAGACCGGGCCATCTGACCAATCAGAGCAGAGTAGGTTCACAGAAAGGAGGGGTTTAGAGAAACTGAATCTCAGAACTGCTTCGAACAAATTGTTTGAGAATCATTGGAAAACGAGGTGATATTAAATACATAGTTTGAGAAAACGAAAGTTTTTTTTGACCTTGCATGCATGTAAACCTATTGTAGGAGACTCCGCCCGCTTGTCTCAGATGTAAAAATTAAAATGCGACTTTGTGAAATGGACTGTCCTAAATTATTGCATCATATTAATGCTAGAAAGCCTATGCATTTGGCAACTATATATTTTAAATAAACCATTATATTGTGAGTATTGTGTATTGAAGCAGTTCGTGACATGAATGTATTGTTACACACCTAGTCATTTGTGGATCACACTCTGGTCATGCTTTGTGTTTGACGTTCAGTCTTTCTCATCGCATTCAGTTGCAGCTCACAACTCTGGTAACACAGAGTATTTTCTTCCAGCATCACTCAAGAGATGGAAGCAGTTTTGACTAAGAATCGGTTCTCGATTCCCAACCACACACACACACGCACACACACACACACACACACACACACACACACACACACTTGCATCTGCTCAGAGAGGCTTGGAGAATGAGAGAGTCTGAGACTCTGGCCGGCCGCGCCGTGGTGTCCTTTTCATCCAGCGCCTTCACGTGTTTTCACCGCCACTTTCACTGACTCCTCACAGTCTCATTCACACAGGAAGTGGATTCCTCCCGCGCTGGCCAATCAGCACGTCAGCCCTGACCTCTGTGTTGAGCGGCTCACTCTCATTGGACACCTAATTGCTGGAGTCAGACTGTCTTTCCTTTGATTAACATTTTGCAGGAGTCCTGGAAGCTGTTGAAACATATTCCCTCCCCCTGCACGTTATGCAATAGCCCTACAAAAATATTTAGACCTGCTCTTTTTACACGCTGACATTAATGAATATTACATACTCCTGTCCAAAGTGCAATAAAGATTCCAGTTTCCTCTCGACTCGCAGTCCAAGAGGCTGAATTGTAATTTGAGAGAGGAATTATAATGACATGTCTGAGTTTGTAGAAATTCCTTTGTGCCTGCCAGGGCCGGGAAGGGAAGGGACCGGGGCCGTTACAGTACAGTGTATCTTTGTTTATGTGTGACGGTTTTTTCTGAAGCATTTCTTTTCTGTTTCGTCGTACTTTCCTTGCTTATCTTCTCATCATTCAGAGCATGTAAATAGCTCACGGTTGTTGGAGCAGCGTGGAGGGCATTTCTTACCCTCAGATCTACCTTGTGTGTTGTTATGTTTGCAGTAACACGTACAACATAGCGGTAGCGGTGAGGTCCACACGTGCGTCATCCCTTCACCAAAACAACCTGCCATGAGGATATATGCGCAGT